TAATTATGCACAGTAATAGTCACCTGCACACACAGATATCCCCCTAAAATAGCTAAAACTAAAAACAAACTAAAAACTACTTCCAAAAACATTCAGCTTTGATATTAATGAGTTTTTTGGGTTCATTGAGAACATTGTTGTTGTTCAATAATAAAATTATTCCTCAAAAATACAACTTGCCTAATAATTCTGCACTCCCTGTAGAAATGCTCTGCAGGATGGTGTGGCTGCAATAGCAGAACCAGCAGCATATAAATCTAGCCAGACTGACCCACGGCTGACCTAGTCCTGTTTCAGATCGGAGTGCTCTTCTGTGTCCAAATGTAGAGCTAATCGACCGTCTGAAATCCCCCCGTGCCTCATTACAACCTCAGTCAACCCGCAGCCTCTATCTACCCCCTCTTTCTATATATATTTATGTCTCATCATTTTTGTACCACAGTAACTCTGCTCTCCGCTGCTTTCTGTTCACAGTTTGCTGCTTCATGTTTCCTTGTGAAAGACTAGAGGCTATCTAACACACTATTACAAACCAGGATCACAACTTCCTCCATCCTCCCCCCGGCTTGTTTTCTGCCCTCTTGCCCTGCTCCCTCTGAACCTCCTCCGTCAATGTCTTTGGCTGAAATGCTCGATGAATAGCTCCTGTCCTCTTCCCCTGCCTTCAGCCTCCACGTTACCACTGCTCTGCCTTGCTATTGTCATTATTGTCATAGCAACACCAAAAACATCTGAGCTCCCGAAACTAGTTCACAACACTGAGCCAAAAATAGTGTGTGTATGTGTATGTGTATGTGTGTGTGTGTGTGTGTGTGTGTGTTCGTCTCTCCTGCTCCTTGTTAGGCTTACTGGGCTTGTCAAAAAAACAAAACAAAAAAAACAACACAGTGAAGCATGACTCGAATCCGAATATGGCTCCCAGATTCCAGATAAAGACGGAGCTTTTCTTCCTTTTCGGCAGATGGTAGAGCTAAAGATTATCAGCTGCTGGTTTGTTTCACATAAAGTCAATTAAATCTGGAAGAAATTCCCATCTCCGTCAATCAAAGCACACCCACTTTTTTGTGAAATAATGACGCCATGCAAAGTTTAACCATGCTACAAATATTTTCCTAGTTACAGTTCTTCAAAGTACATAGAGCTCGGTATAAATTTGGTGCTCTTTAATTTGGTGTAATTTTCCAGCACTCTGGTCTTTCGTAACTTCAAAAGTAGAGACAATGAAATTACATTTTCAGAGCTGAAACACACACTGACACTTTGTTCAAAACTTAAACCAAATTGCTTTTACGTCCACTTTAAACATCACAGTCTCACCAGCTCTGCACATCAATATCATCGGATACATCAGAGCTTCGACAGCCTCAATTTAATGTCTATTATGCAGTGCAGGGGTATCAAAAATATAACTTGTGGGCCCAAACCAGCAACCCAAGTGATCTGCTTTGGCAGAGAGGACGGCTCTGGAAAAAATTGCAAAGAGGGAAGGCAGAAATGTTAGAGTTTTACCTGAATTTTTTTTTTAGGTTTATGGTTTTCTTACTGATTTTCTATGGACTCTGATCACCACGTTCCTGCATGGATGCCCCTTCACTTCTCTTGTTCTCTGTCACTAATAGTCCATTTAATTGCTCCCCTTGAGGTTCAGAAAGTTAAGGTTTGCCATTGTTGTTCCAAGTGTCTTCAAAAGTGACACCACAATTATCACTGCACCTCCTGATTCTTGAACAAATGTGTGTGCGGCACTAGATTTTAATTATATATCAAAGCAGGAGCACAGAGGGAGACTGCGGCAGGAAAGATGGGATGTTAAAAGGAAAATAAATTAGTTTTCTGTTTCAGCCTAATCTGTTATAGAAGTTTGTTTTTTTAACCGCCCACATGTCATAATTTTGGATTACTATTTTAAAATTTGACTTATTATCTCAAATTTCTGAGAAAATAACTTTAAATGTCAAACAATGGCCTATTGTGTATGTGTGTGGGTATTTATCTAGTTATTGTTCGGGTGAAGACTGGGGCTGTGTTGTCATTGATTGTCACTGATCACATAAACATTGACTATTGCAAGGGCCGTAAACACCAGGCTAAAACTTTCCTAAGATGGTGTCAAAAAATAAATAAAAGCGTCCAGATGAACTGGCAGTCAAAGCATTTAAGATGTCAGAAAGGGCTATGGGAACTTGAAAAGACTATTTTGATATTTGTAATGGTCAAAATCTTAGAGAATAACTCAACACAAATCAGTAAGGGAAACCTTAAGTTGACTGGTACTAGCTACCAAAACTAAATATGGTCCAGTATTTGTGAAAACATTTAATTTTAATGTTTACATTGTGGTTTACGCTTACCTAACTTTGTGATCATTTTACGAATTCGTTGCTGCCTAACCTCTTCTTTTTCATCTTTAAAATCACCCAAAAGTTGAAATCAAACGTCAACAAAACACTTTAAAAACACCAGAAACCACCATGGTGGATGGATTTATTGCTGGTATATATTAAACTGCAGTTTACAATATACTGGCAAGTGAGTGCACATTAATATTCACTTTTTTTTGGCACTGCCTCTGTCTATCCGGCCCTATTTTCTTGTTATGTAACGCGTTTTAAGGACACATCTTTATGCACACTCTGGTAGAGACCCAGTGGGGTAGTCCTATCATTTGCTGTTCAAGATTTAGGCTAGGGCATCATGTTTGGTGCCCTGATGTTTCCTCACAAATGCCTCATATTCGAGGTCTTTAGTCTGTCTGTCCCCTGCGCTTTTAATAAATAAATAAATCTGCAAATCGTCCTGCATTTGATGCTGTCGAAACACTAAAACTTCATTTTTATACAGGCAACCAAAGAATCCATCTGCAGCCAGCCCGTATCGCCACATCTACCGCTCAGACACATCATCATGATCAGCCTACTCAGCCACACCGACCCCTCTGTCTGTTTCGTGCCGACTTTTGGAAGTCTTCTCACGGCTCACCTAACATAGGTCTCCTCGGTCCTTTTCTTTCGTCTTCCAGTCGTTTATCCAGTCGTTTCTGCTGAACTGAGCGTTAGCCGTTAAAACTCCTGGGACAAGTCGCTCGTTCTCCTGCCGTTGGACACAATCAGCGGGGCGCGTGCAGCAGTGCATCCAGAAGCTGGTAGGAGGAGAGCGCGAGAGGTCCATCTGTTGTGGCGGAGCTCGCGGCACAGCAGCGTCGCGGGGCCCCGGCAGGGAGCCAATCAGAGGGCGAGGCTGACGTGTCTTTGTTCGCGCTGCGTGAGGAGATGAATGAGAAGTGGACAACAATAGCAGAGCAGAAGGCAAGGACATTATTCAACAGAAACCCCAATTTAATGGAAGCACGACACAAAAGTACAATGTCCCACGTCAAACTCTGTCCACGCATGTGCAACTTCATGCTAGTTTATGGCTCTTATGGAAGATCAGATCTGCCAAAATACAATAAACTTTAAAAAAAAAAAGTATTTCATTATTTATTACTGTCCAAGTCAAAATTTCGAGTTATGCATCTCAAAATTTCAACTTACAAGTTTAAATGAGAAACTTACATTTTGAAAAAAATACTTTCAAATTTATTTTTTAAATAAATAATTTTGGTGTCAGAAACAAACTTCCATATTATGCTCCCTTTTATAAGAAGACTAAACATTTTGTTTTCTTTTCCCTTTTCCCTTAAAAAAGTACTGTTGTAGACTTGGTGTAACCTCTGGCGTCCTCGATCATCACAACATGGACATAACCCATTTCAACTTCTAGCCATCTTGATGATCTGAAAATCTTGTGGTCCACTGAAACATTTAATCCGAACTCCAATCATCATACAAACCTAAGAGGAAATTCTTCCTGTTTCATGTTTTCACTGATTCTCTTTGTCAGAGAAAACAGCCGGTTCACTCAGTCTTTGGCCTCTCTCCACACACTCTACACCATATGGCTGGTTTCAGCCTGATTTTAGTTTTAATGCAACTGATAAAACTACAAAAAACATGTCAGTTAAGTATTGTTTCCTTTTGGTTACAAAATTGGTACATTTTGGCTAAAGCCATTGTTCCCATTACTTGTCACGATTCATGAATTGGAACTCGAGTTGTTTTTTTTGTCCTCATTTAATCTGGAAATTGTTCCTTTGAATTTACAGCAATGAAAAGTGAAGGTAATTTTCCTTTGTTGTTTCAATTCATAATTGCAGTCTTTCTTAACTGACTTTCCCACCTTCTGCAAATTAAACTGTGACCGACACAGGAAAAACTGATTCTAGTTGTTTAAAATAATTCAACTCTTTACACTGAAAAGACCTTAAAAAAAAAAAAGAAAAGAAAAAAAGTTAAATTAAAATAGTGCTGACCAAAGCTCTGGTTAGAGCTACTCAAATATTCAAACATGTTACCTCTTCAATAAAATGAATTAAATATTTTTCATTTTAGTTTCAGTCATCTTTGTGGGAAACACAATTTAAAGAAAATGTTTCAAATCTCAGTACATTTTGATATTTTATGCTTTTCGACGTTAAAGACTGAAAGCTTTGTAGCTCATGGGACATCTCAGTCTAGAGATACTCTGTAGCTACATTACTGGCAAATGAGACAAGGGTCTGTCAGTGACCATGTGCATTGTGTCCAGGATCAGATTACTTAAAACTAGATTTTGACAGGCGGTGCCCTCTGTTGTTGTTGTTTTGTTTTGGGGGGGGGAGGGGAGAGAGACTCTGCAGCACTTTTAGCGCTGCCTGGTTTGTATTCCAGTCTCTGTAAACCCTAGAGATGACTCTGTGGTAAAATCCAGCAGTTTGAGAAATAATTAGATCAGCCTATCGGGTATCAACAACCATGCAACATCAAAAGTCACTTAAAATCACGCTCTGGTGCTTAGTTTGAACTTCAGCGGTGGTCTTGACGATGTCTACATGCTTAAATGTATTTAGTTGCTGCTGTGTGAGCGAAAAGGAGGAATGGTGACAATTTAAAAAAAAAAAAAAAAAAAGACAGAAGACCAAATTCATTCAGTAACATCTTATTAAATAGTTTTAGGGACAAAGAATAAAACATTTTGTTGCTACAATTAGTTTACACAATTTATATTCCAGAATGTTTAGCAAACTTTACTCCATTAAATATACATTTGTGTTTTTACATCTATTTAAAGTTTCTCAGCTTGTTCTTGGATTTATATTGGTAATGTGTTAACATGGACAGAAAACAATGTTAGAGTAAAAAAATACAATATGAAAAGATCATAAACAGGATTCCACCAAACCACAGATTTGAAATGGGGTTTAAATGTATTTACTTTTTAAATAAAAAGTACAAGAAAATGGTGCGCTTTCCAGCATGATTTAAGATTCAAAGTTATGATTCGTTTCTTACAAATATTTGCTTGCAAAAACATAAAAACTATGTATATAAAAAAAACATTTAAAAAGATAGAACACTTAATACACAGAAGTATAGTCTCCAGGTAATGACCCCTTCAAAATAACTGAAAGGGATTGATGTCTTTGTGTTACGCACCTTATGGTCACCTTTTTAAGAGCCATGTGAATGTAATTCAAACCAGAAACAATGTTTTTATTTTGTTTTTTACTGTAACTGGCTGCTTCTTTCACAGCTGTGCGAGAGGTGCATGTGTACTAAATCCTACAATAAGACAGGAGTACAATAATAAAAAACTGGAGGAAGCTGCCATGAGGCACAAAGACATCCCATGTTCATCTTCACATTAAGCGATAAGGCAGGTTTCACTCAGCTGCTTGATAAACAACAGGCTCTTAATAAAGGTGACCAACGGGTGTGTCCTCCTCCTGCATTCAGAAATGGTGACAATAAAAATTCCAGAGGAGAAAAACAAGGTACACCAATCACGAGGACACAGATGCATCTTCACTGCAGGGCCAAGAGTGTGCAAGGAGAGACTGATGTGATGGGAGAAGTGCTGGTTGCATGAACATGATATGACACAGAAAACAAGGTCACGAGTCGTGTGCATGCCAGAAATTTACTACAGCAAGGGCCAACCCCCCCAAAACTACCCTCTATCTCCGTGGAAGCTGCTTAAAAGTCTGACTTTGATCACTGCCAGCTCTTAGAGCTAGGTTACATAGTCACGACACATCAGCTGGAGTGCCAACAACACACTGCTTATTTTACCAACCACCTGGTAAAGTCCCTTTGCAAGTCAGCCAATAATTTAAACGAGGGAGATGAGGTTTTAGATTTACAGTTTTCGCACGTCAGTTATCTCTAACCCTGGGCTCTTTTGTGACATCATTACTCTGTTTTTTTTTTACCATCTACTCTGGATGGTCATTCAGTATTTTGGAAAAAATCAGTCTGCGACCTCGTAAGGAGTTTCAGTGGTATAGTCAACGCAAATTATATTACTGTAATTGCATATTTTATTTGACAAACAAATGGAAATCTATAAAAATGTCCCAACACCTTTAACCCTACCTAAAGAGTGATGCCCCTGTAGATATTAAGGGTCACATAATTAATAACTATGGTTTATTTTGGCGTAACAAAGTATGAGACATCACCAAATCAGAGCAGTACGTCATAAATGGAACTACAGCTGGACCTGTTTTAATTAGGTCATTAATGTTCACACCTCCTTTAAAGTCTTCAAAAGCACTGTAGTAATATTTCAGGTTTCCAGGTTAGTGCGTATGAAGTCATCTGGACCCCAGTCTTCTTGGCACCATTACATGTGCAAACAGTACTTCGTAGTAAAAAGGCCCTGATCTGTAAATTCTGAACTATCCAGTTCGACATTTAAAAGTTTTCATCTTTTGCTTTCAAATGCAACATGATAGAAATGGAATGAAATAGAAGCAGCTTTTATATTACGTCAGAAACAACCCTTTTAAAGCCTCTCTCGCCGGGTGACCTTCTAAAAGCACCGATTGGAGCTGGGGCGGAGGGCAGGAGTAGCTGTCAATCATTACCGGTCTTTACAGGGCTTCAACAAGTAAACTAAAACACACTAAAAATTCTGAAAGGGACGCATAAACCCGTTAGACTTTTTCTTTTTTAAAACCCCCCATAAATAAATAAATAAATAGCTTTAATAAGAGATAAAAATGGGGGAATCTGGAATGAGACTAAACTAATCACGTCTCTCAGTAGCAACAAATGTCAATGAAAAGTTTTGGTATATGGTAACAGAACAGCAGAAATACAAATAAAGAGCTTTGAGCGTTTTGGTTTTATAAAAATCTCAAGTGGGCTACTCTTTATTTCTATGCATCATTTTTTTTTTATATTGTTGCCAACTCTGTGGTATTTTTTTCAAAAGCTGCTCTTTATACATAGAAGCAGCAGAGGCACACAGTGTGGTCAGAAAAGAGTGGCTCTGTTTTTGGGGTGGGGGGCACGCCTGGGTTAATACCGTACAGACTGCAAATGCTTTGAAACTTAGTAGGAGATGAAAGAGAGCGCGTATTGATGACTGAGGGAGAGCAGGAATGTGAGAAAAAAGTCATGACCAGAGTTAAACAAGTAAACATTGATACGTCATGACTGTCTGGGAAAAAAAGAACCCCCCCAAACTGCCACACTGCACATGTGAGCAGATGAAGGGCACAAAAGAAAGAAACTGTTAGATTTATATACTCTATAGTCAGCAAAATACAATGTCCTTACCTCCCAGTACAATTATATAGCCTTTAGGTAAATCCTACCTTAATATACATCCACAGTGACCCCAAAACTGTGAGACAAGTCCCACACGGAGCTGTGCGAGAACACTTATTCTCATGTCATCATTCATCAGTTTCATATATACTCACACAAGGTCTCCCTGACAAGGCCACATGTTCGTGTTACTGTGCGCATTAATGCAGCTCTTATAAATCCTCTGCCGTCACCATGATGATAGAGGCATTATTGAAAGCTTGTCTCATTAGTTAAGAGCCAGCATGTAAAGTAAATAAAGGGTAGCAGATTTAAATTAAAACTTTAACAAGCATGTTCAGGAAAGGCAGAGTTTTGGTCCTGTTAACAACTGATGAATAATACTGACATAATCTAAATAAATGTAAACCGGTATGTTAGTGATTTTCTTTTCTGCCCAGTAATATGGGAGAGGTCTTCTGAATATTAGCACTTCATTATGAAATAATATGGGATGCGAGCCTCTTTAGCGTGAGCGTGTTTTACTGAAGAATCTGTGAAGTGACATTCTACTTTGAACTCAGGAAGGAGGTACTACAAAAATAAATCTCACAATCACTTCACATGGCTAAGGGGACCTTACAAACTACTTCCATCATTCTGCATGACCCCCTGTTGTGCAATGCAGTGCTCGTGCTAGATCTACAGTGGCTGCTGGTGTGTGCATGTGTGGTTGCATAACAAATCCAGAGGGGAACGATTCCTAACATGATGCTCAAGTCCCATATTTCAATCTACTGTGCTTTGAGAAGAATGTATGCAACATAATTTGGGCTGTCTCAGTTAGCAGCGATCACGAGTGAGTGAGCCATTAGACATTCAGCTCCGACTGCCTGACATCCATCTGTCTCCTCCTGGATTACTCCATGCACACATGCACACAAACAGACTGATCTCCACATGGTGACATCATTTATAGCATGCTGTGGCTTGCTATAGCATGCTTAAAATAGCATAGTGGGAAGTGACTGATACAAGCTATAGAAAATAAACGCATATAGTGACAGTGGTGGGGGGGGGGGGTGGTGCATCACATTTTCTTCCACACAATCCAGTGCCGCTTCTGTCCTCCACTCCCCCATTATGTTGACTTAGTGTACCATCCCTTGCTCCCCAAAATTCAACCATTTCAAGGTTTCTCCAGCCTGCTGGTTATACCCGACTCTCTCCCAGTGCTGCGCTGCCCTCCCCTCCCTTTGCCCCATCCCCGTGTCCCATTCTGTTCCTGCAGGCTCCCTGTAGCCGCCCCCAATGGTAGCCTGTGAACGTTGGGCTGATGGGGAAGTTCTTGAAGATTCGGTGTCTGCGGATGAAGTCCATTCCAAACGGCAGGTCGTAGGATCTCATCCCTTCCAGTTCTGCTGCACTAAGACCAGAACCGCGTTTCAGCTTCCTAATACCTCGTTCTTCAGGAGAACCTGAGGATAGAGAGAGATTAATAATGAGTGCCTTAAAGTTCACAATTAAAAGTCCAGGCTAACAAGGAACAAGTTCCACAAGTCTTCTGCTGCTGCTGTGACTTTCTGATGTTTGTGAAGATGGAAAGAAATTCGTAAGATGCGCCTCCGCCCATTCATCTTCAGTTGATTTTCCAGGTGGCAGCAGGTTACGCTCAGACGACTCTCTCAGCCATGTTTTCTTCCACCTTTCCCAGCATGACCTCTAGGATCAGACATACGACCACCCCCCACATGTAGTGCCTTGTACGATACCTGTACCTGCTTGGCAGTCACAGCCACATGTTATGATCGTGTTCCTTAAAAACTTTTTTGCACGCTCCAACAAACTACCATCACTTTCTCAAGCAGCAATAACTTAAAACACTATTAAATGTGAAAACATTCATTCTTGTTCAAACTAATGAAATTAAAAACCTTACCAGGGATGGTATTGTCCAAAATGAAGGCGACAGACCCTCCGACGAACATTGCAGTGGTGAGGAGCACATTTAGCACTTGGTCAATTTCAACAATGCCTGAGAAAGACAGAAGTCGTGAATGTAGTACAATTTGTTTTTGAAGTTACAGCACTGACACAAAGTTAAACTGATCTAATCTCTGGACTGGAGAAGTCACTGAACTTCTGATTGACAAACAACTACTTCCTGACCCACAGCACTCTCCTACTGTTACTGGTGCTCCTTGTAAAAGTGAAAATGAGTGACTGAAAGTTTGATTTCCCTTCCGTGCACTCACCGGTGACCAGTGGATTCTGTTTGAGGTAGTTCGGCAGCATCAGGCCAAAGAAGATCGAGAAGCCCAAGACAAAGAGGTTCCTGGAGGAGTTGAGGTCGACAAACTGCAGGTTGGACAGTCCCACTGCTGTAATCATACCAAACAGGGTGCAGAACAACGCTCCCAGGACTGGGTCAGGCAGAGAGGCAAAGAGGGCACTGAATTTACCCACGAGCCCCAGCAGCAGCATCATGGCAGCTCCATACTGGATTACACGCCTGCTGCCCACCTGGAGAACCAATTAAGACTTTTAAAACACCTTTTTAAATAAAGAGCAGGTAACATGAATACAGAAAAAGTAAATAAAGAATTAAAAAAAACCCCCAAAACATATAGTGTGTTACCTTTGTGATTCCCAGGACGCCTATATTTGGACTGGAGGAAGTAGAGCCATTTCCTGTCCCGAAAAGACCATCCAGCACACAGGAAATGCCTTCTATAAATATTCCCCTGCAGAGACAAAAAAACATCATAATTATAGTTCGGACCAGACAGTAAACTGCCTGGGCTGTTTGTGACAAACTACTGAAGTATGAGAGCAAATAAGGAGGTGGAAAAACAAAGGTTACCGGTTGATGGCGTGGATGGGAGGCGGAGGAGCACACGACAGCCGAGCGCAGGCGTAGTAATCTCCAATTGACTCGATGATGCTGGCCACCACAGCGCTCATCATACCGATCACACCTGCAGCCGTCACCGTGGGAACGCCCCACTGGACTGTAGAGGTAAAACATGCTGGTATTTTTATCCATCATCATGCTTAATGCCAACTTTAAACTTTCATATTATATTTCTATAGTCAGTCTACAGCATATATACAATTTGTAGACCTTCCTCTTCATTAAGACACTCACAGGGGTAGGGGATTTTGAACCATGGTGCTACTAAGAGGATCCCTTGACGTGCGTCTGTGCGGGCGTAGAAACCGTATTTGTCCTTATCTGGTGGGAAAACGTCGGTCACAGTGAAAATGAAACATAACAGCCACGACATGAGAATGGCCATTATGATCTGCATGAAAGAGAAAAGAAAAAGCTTATCAGACTTTTACATAACATCAAAAACATGAAGAAAAAACAACAACAACACCCTTTACCCTTTTTGTATATGTTTTTATTACTTCTCTCCAGCTATCTGTTTATATGCAGAGTATGTGAAAGAAATCATGACCTTTTGGGGTGTATGCATTAGTTCATTAAATTAAATTTGCCTTGGTTATACTTAGACCTGTTTATCCTAGAAGCTAATAAACTAATACATCAGGAGGTGAGTGTTTGGATCTTCTTTGGATACAGCTTTGTTCACATCATGCTGTCTGACTTCACATGTGGACTAACCATTCTACACATTTGGACTAGGAAAATAAAAATCATTTAATGATTAGTTTAAAAGCATTGCAGCATAAGACCTTAGGCCAATAAAAAGACATAAAAGTAATTTGAGATTGTTTCATGAAAAAGGTATAAATTAAATTAAGAGCAGCAAATAAATAATTTAACGGTGTTTTTAATCACTTCACCAGCAGGGGGAAGAAAGTGACTGATTTACAAAGTGCTCAGACAACCTGGGGAGAAGGACGTTTGCTCTGCTGAATAATTTGTGACTTACAAGAGAGAAAAATATTAATAATTGGAATGAAAGCAAAAAGTCTAGACACTGTTTGTATGCAGGCACTTACAGCATGTTGTGTACTTACAGGAAACATTTTGAAGACCTGGAGCCTATAGGATGTCCAGCCCTTCTTGGCTTTGTAGATGGGCAGAGGAAAGTGAACATTTCTGGCATACTGAGAGAAGAGCAGCACCAAGAAGATAGTCCTGCAGAGAGAACCAATCCTCCTAAGTTTAGTGGTGACATGTTATACCGCATATTCTCTGCATGACAACCAATTCTGCAAACATATTCCTTTAAGTCCTGCCTATGTCTGACAAGGACTCCAGAGGCTTAAGAGCCAATCAATTATCCTAACGGCCCAAGAAATTAGTTGCAATTACAGCCACAATACCTCAATCCCTGTGGGCGAGAGAAGAGGCCCTCGAGCTACAGTGTAAACAGCTATGACACAGCAGAAGCTGATGTCACACCACCTGAACGTCACATTATGAAGTGCATCATCCTTCATGAGTCAGCCCTCTGTAGCTTCACAGCCCACATGATCCAGGGTTAAGTGCTTCCTAGATTAAGTTTTAGTGTGGTCATCTTAGCCACTCAGGTCTGGCTTTAACTAGAGAAGACCCACCCACCTGTTGTTTCAACCCTCTGTCTGTGAGGGGCAGCCAATCAGAAGAAAGCTGTCTTAAAGGGAGAGACGCTAGGACAGATGGACTGAACCAAAGTCGAGTATGAGATAAATAGGGATATTTTATTTAAACTGTAAATCATGCAACGCTTCTATAGTAGAGTATAGGAATATAATTTATATGGAACTGGAAAGCACCACAATGTTACACCCCAGCTGTCAAAAAAAAAAAAAAAAGTTAAATGTACCTCTAAATGTATCATGATGAAAACATTTAAAAGGAAAACTATGTTGTTTCCATAACTGAAAACAAAGATTTTAAATTAAAAAATAAACAAAATTTAAAAAAAACCAACTTGCCAAGTAAGTCAAAATTTTGAATCATCTCAACTCAGACATACCTTGAACTTTTGAGATACTAACCCGAAATTTTGACTTACCAATGGCATGTTTCCCCCATAGACAAACAAACTCTAGATAGTGTCTTTTTAAAGACAGTGTTATTGAGGACACATTGGCGTGTCCATACTTACAGCATAGCAATACCCCAGTGTTTTCCAGCCCTCTCCCCTGCAGCCTGGAAACCAGACAAGCCGATGAGGGCCACGGTGGGAGTGATGGTCAGAGGTCCGATGTATTTCAGGAGCATCCCGGGGAGACCCAGCATGCCAATGCACACCTCAACCATGGATGACACAATGATGGCACCTTGGATCTGTCAAAACAAAAATAAATAATAAATAAATACATTTCTGTTCTGCAGAAACACGTGAGCTGACATTTATGTACACACACACACACACACACACACACACACACACACACACACACACACACACACACACACACACACACACACACACACTACCACACACACACACACACAACAGCACACACAAACAACACACACACACACACACACACACACACACACAGCACGTAGATGTGTGTATATATACATACCTACCTACCTACCAAGATTCATGCAAAATGAACATTTTCATAAATCAAAACACAAAGTAAGGTTTTGTACGTGAGGCTATTGTGAGACTGCTCACTGTCAGTTTGCTTAGTATTAACTAGGTCTGTTTACACTGTACTTGCACATATCAGTACTTAAGCATTAAATAAAAACCCTCAAATTTATGAATTAAAAGCAAACACTGTGATTGTATAGCACAAGGTAACAGAATCGGCAGCACTGACAGCGATAATCCTGTTTGCCTGGTCTTTCTGTTCTCCTCTGTCACATTTTATCAAACGTCTGTTCCTTCATTCAACAATCTGATTCAGTCTGATCGAGTTTCGCCTCATTCACGTGTCACATAACAAACAATTACTCAACCGGCTTACGCAAATGCAAAAGGTTAACGCAAATTAAGAGCATGTGTCACACAAACCCAAACCCTGCAGACATATAGAAAACAGTAATGTCTCTATTTTAGCAGCATATATACAATGTTCAACTTTTTAAACATCAGCTTAACAGACATACTTTTCAAATTTAGTTGTTCAAAAATGTGTTATTTAAGTGCAGTTCAACAACATTTAGAGAAAACCTGCAGTAAAGTCAGTCACCCCTTCCCACAAAGATGTGGTTTGGAACAGTGTGAGTGAGTGTATGTGTGAGCGTGTGCATGTTTCTTTGCCTTACCTCTCGTATCCTGGGCTGCCAAATGTGCTCTGTGTTGAGGAGCTCTGTACCGTTTAATGCTGGAATATCTGCTTGTGGAAAAAGACGAGGAGATGAGCGATCAGAAACCAACGAATCACAGATCTTTGCAAGGCTTTCCCACTGAAAGCCAGACAGACCATTGAGATATAATATATTGTAAAGTAAAGATAGATGACAGTCCTCTCTTCACCTGTGTTGTTGCACTTCCATTTCTCCAGTGACAGGATGGCTCTGGCTGGTGCGAGAAAGGCGAAAGCACTGGCCTGAAACAAAGGAAGCCTGAAAAACATGAAAAGCTCACTTTAGATATTAAACACTTAAACCAACTAAGCCATCTCTTTAAGAAATAAGAGAACCATTTCGGGTTAGTTGTGATGTACTGAACAAAAAGATGACCTTTTTCAAAATGTATTTATTGACAGTTCACAATTTAAAAACAGGGTTATTCAGCCTCAATTCATAATTTAATTGGAGCCAAATCTGCTTGTCTAGGGTGAGATACCCCATCTAGCTGAGGTGCTGTGAAACATTTTCACTAGCTGCATAAAATGTTTTGACAAGAGTCAAAAACAGACTTCACATAAGCTGAATTTCATCTAAGTTGTAGAAATAGTTTAGGAAGTGTGGCTGTTTAAAAATTAGTCACATTTGGGACATTTTTGCCAAACTTCAAGGGGTTTTAGTCATATCTGGTTTCAATTAAGAACTTTTGATCTGTAACCCTAGCAGTACAATCATTAAAAACTAGACTAGACCAAGTATCATTTTTAGTTTCAGTGAGCCAAAATTAGATGAGTGTGCACAAGTACTCCCCCACATGCTGCTCCACCTGACCTTGATTTCCATTTTTTTAAAAACATCACTGACAGTATTGCATGAGAATACACCTGGACTGCTGCTGACTAATCTAAGGACAGTTAAAAAGAGGAGAGGTAGTGGGAAGGAAAAAGGAAATGTTTCTTAAGAGGAAGTGAGATTTCATAAGCGCTAATTATGAATTGGCAGCACATCTGTTTGTTTCGACTAAAAGTCAGTGTTTTATGTACAGCTGCTTCTTGTCAGTGCAAATATACAAATCAATGAAAAAAAACTCCAGAAAATTTTATGTGGGCCTCAAGATTGATGGTTGGCTCCATAAAACAAAATATTTTTAACTCAACTTTATCCCCGTGTTTTTACCCTTTTCATGTTTATCATTATTGCTGTAATGTTTTCTTTGCTTTTCATTTTCAAAATCAGTTTCTTCATGTAGGCTTCATGTGTGCTTCAATGTGTAACTGTAAAACAAATCACTAAACATTTCTGTGTATACAAGTCTCATGTTTGCAGGTAGCAGCTGTGCACACAAGCAGGACACTTTGGGTAAAAAGAGAGACACTTTCACCTTTCCTGGAAAAGCATTTTGCCCTTTTTGATTGACCTCACTTGGCACGATGACTCAGAAATCTTCACTGCATATCACCCCCACCCACTTTCCACCTCTTTACAGCTCTGCACGTGTTCTTCTGCGTCATTCCTCAGTACACATCTCCAAACCTCCCCCCCCCCTCGTCCTGCATTCAGTCTATCACTGTGGATACGATCGAGTCAGTCACTTGATAGCTGAAGAAATCTGAGCAGGGATGAATATGTCTGTAACCAGGCTTGTTAACAGGTTTGAACATGCAGTTAGAGAAATAGTCAGGTGAAGAAATATTTAAATGTTGAGCACCAACATGACATTCTAATGAACAGAGAGAGGCCCAGAGGACTGATGGGCTGGGATATGCATAAATAATCAGCCTAGAATAACAGTTTTTGTCCATGCTGATCTGCCTTTTTCTTTTTTTTTTCCTTCATTGTTAGGGAGTTATCTGGTACATTATAAACAATCCAGATGTGATGGAGTATGACTATTACAGATACACTGTTGCTGTCTCCCTTTCCCCCCTGCTTTTATCCTCTCCCTCCCTTAGTGGTTTCCATTCAGTGACATTTCTCTGGAGAAACGAATCCACTGAGAGATGGACAGATAAGCACCGTCTGTGACATCAGGGCAGCACTGCCTGAGAGAGGGGAAGCTGCTGGTATGGCAACAATGACGGGCTTAACAAAAAAAAGAAAGAAAAAAAGACCAGACTGTGTTTCAGTCTCCCCCCCTCCCCATCTTTTCTATGAAAAAGCAAAAACTGAGCATGTGATTTATGTTTTAGATGTTTTTGAGCACTCTACTACACAATCAGTAAACATATACAATCTACATATTTAATGATCCTTTTTCTGGCATTTATAGAATCATGTAAGACTGGAGATGAAGTTTATATTTTGATAGAAACTCATCAGTTCACAGGGAAAAATTTTTTTTTTGCAAGTACAGAATTTACTTTTTAAACTATAACAACTAATCAGCAACCGAAAAAACAAAAACAACAAAACAAAAATCTGTCCTTTTCTGCTGATATCAAAAGCTGATATTAACCTCAGCCTGATGCTGAGACATTACATTTGTGGCTGATAATTGGCACAGACACTGAAAGATGTAGATATTTACCAGGCAATCAGATTTTAGTGGGACGCATTATGGGAAAAGTGGGATGCAGCACTGTTGTGGTCCTAAAACACAGAATATTTTCACTACATTGTTAGACTATGTCTTCAGACGTTGGAGACCACTAACCCTTGCAGAGCTGTCAGTTTTGTAGTCTCCAGATCGGTTCTGTCACAGAAACATATCAACATCTAAATGGAAATGAGGACTAAACTCAAATGTTAAAATGCAAGTTGTATAGTTTCTGAAATAGTTTGCCACATTGTCCAACAGGGGGCAGCTTCTTCACTTTCAGATTGACCCATTATATGTCCACATGAACTGTCTGTAAAATAAATTGTGGGGAAAAAAGGGCAAGACAATGGGCTAATAAAATTACCAATAAACGTAAGGCTGTTTGCTCAGCTTGCACAAATCAGTGACGATTCAGGACTAAATCACTTTCTGAAGGTATGACAGCCCCAATTAATGTTTCATGTATTACAGTTAATAGTGGAGGAACTGGCCAAATGTATCAGCTGTAGTTGCTATTAATTTATTAGTTGTCAAAAGGGTTTCAGAGGGTTTAATTTACTTGGGGTTGTGCTGTTGTCCAGTGACTCATCCCTAAAAACTTTTTTTTTAATGAAAGTACAGACCCAGAAGAGGAGGACAACAGTTAAACAGTTACATTTGTGATTGACATGACATTGACCAATCAGCTGAAAGAAGAAAAATAGGGTCAAAATCCACACTTGGAACTTGAGCGCAGAGTTGCACACATATTATTTTGGCCAAGCACACACACACACACACACACACACACACACACACACACACACACTTACAAGTACAAAATATTTATGACCACAATTTGAGCTCAGAAGTGCACTGAGATGACTCCGGTGACTCGGGAGGCTATTTCAGTCAAGTAAACTCACTGTTGCTTTCAAAACAAACAGCCTGAGATCATACGAACTTCGTGACAAGGTGCATTAGCCGGACAAAAACAGCCACTAGAAGATGGTTATTGTGAATAGGATAACAACAGGGTCAACAACAACACTGAGGTAAGATGTGGTGCTAAATGATCTTCAGCTGGACTTGAGAGGCTCAAAGTAAGCTATAAAAAGGGTCCACACACCATCGCATCACCAGCAGCAGCCTAATTTGTTGACAGCTCATAGGTTAGATCCATGTTTACGCGTGTGTGAGCTTATGCAAGTGTTGCAGCAGAAATCGACCATCTGAGCAGGCATAATTTTTCCTAATCGTCCTTTGTGTATCGCTTCTAGAGTAGCCTTCTACTGCTACAGCATATCAAGGATTGATGTGTTGATGCTCACATGCCTACCTTAGTTCTAACAAGTAACCTGAGACTTTCTCTCAGCTCAAACCTTTCTGGAAATTTTTGTGTGTGTGTGTGTGTGTGTGTGTGTGTGTGTGTGTGTGTATAAAACCCCAGTAAAGGGGCAGTCTCTGAAATACCCAAACTGCCACCAAAGTCAAGCAGCTGGGTTGAATGTTATCAGTTCCTCATTGTGTTTGGATGACTAACTGCATCCTTAATGTGATTGTCTGATTAGAGATTTACAGGTGACCACGTGTAATGTGATGAGTGTATATCTTTTTCTACAAGGTGCTGATTTTTAAGCCACTATTTGTCTGTTAATAAAATAAAAGGAGGAGGCAGGATAACTTTCACACACTTTTTTCCTTTCCATCAAAGTATCAGTAAAAGTCATCGAGTCAGTGTTAAAATGAACAACCTGTGTGTGCGACTGTCTGGGTTTATATGAGTGAGGTGATTTGGCCGGTGTTGCTGCTGCTGCTGTGCAGCATGATAACGAGACCAAGACTCTTCCACAACAGGATTGAAAGATTAGGTTTAATAATAAAAAAAAAAAAGGAAAGAAAGAAAACGAGCCAGGGTTCTCTCGCGCAACTGCTCCTTCTTTATGAAAGAAAAACAGCACCTCTTGCCATCATAACTCAACTTTCATTAAAACAGACCCCAGAGATGTGATAATATCCATGACAACAGATAACATTTTATACCAGTCATTATTTTCTGGCAAGTGATAGGAGTGATATAACCTTAAGAGCTGAATAAGGGTGAATCACCGATTACAAAACATACCTCACATTAAGCATGTCTGATTTTATGTTCGTCGTAAATAACAAACAAAAGTAGAAAGTGTAGAAATAGTGCAGAGGGACCGTTACCAAATGAAGAGTTTAATTCTTTGTATTTCCAGAAAAACAAGTATGAAGACAAAACGCGATACATTCTTGAGAAAGGGGGTCAAAGCGAATCATTCCACACATCTAAACTGGTAAACAGGCCATCCCTCCTGGAAAAGTCACTACTGACCAAGACATGCCCGTGGTTAATCAGTTATTGCTTCCGTGTTTTTCACATTGCTTGGCCAGAAGTGATGCAATAGAAGAACCACATGTTGTCTCAATTTCATAAAATATTACAGAAACACAGCAGAGAAATTAAAATGCTACTCATCCATATTTTGATAGAAACTACACGTAAAAGATATATAAAGCTTGTATGTAGTAGTGCGTATCTTTGTGGATGCAAATTGGACTAATCTGCAGCTCTAAATTAAAAAGATGTAATTCATTTACTCAGTTCATGTAACGCCTAAACACACTCACAGTTACTCAGGGATGAGAGACAGCGGGGGAAGAGAGGTGTGTGTGCATACCTGCAGCCCAGTGTGGTCTGTAGCAGGGTAGTGATCCCCACACAGAAGAAGATGGTCCCTATGAGCTGACTGGTTGCCCACTGATCAAAGCCGACGCACATCGCCTCAGAGAGGAGGAACGGCACCGCGATGGTTCCACTGAAACATGTCAAGTAGTGCTGGAAAGACAAGATGGCAGAAGGTCGTTCCTGTTTTTTTCACCATCTACTATAGAAATTTAGTCCACCCCCTTCCCAAAAAGCCCCCAATAACAAAGCACAAATGTTTAGTTTTATAATTTGGATCCTCACCATCATTCCTTTAGGCTCATAAGTGGAAAATATAATGGGAAGTCTTTGACCCTCAAATGAAACTATCTGCATTGTTTATATGGTTACCATATTCCCAGAACAGATTAGTCTATTTCCCCATTTATAATCAGGGTACCAGTCATCCAGTTCTCTACTACGGGAGTGGACAATCCAGTTCCGCTCCCACCTTGCTCCACCTGGAAATTCCCAAATCTAAAGAAAAGCCTGTTTAGCCTGTTTACCTGTGCAAACCACAAAGAAGTCTCAGGTGAACTGAACAGTTAATTTAATTTAATATTTGCATTTATGCATCAGCTAACCATTCTTAACAGGCAGATTATTAAACTGATTTATATTCTGAGCACAGTTGGATTAAGAGGACAGAAGGAAAAAAAAATAGACGTCACTGACATAAAACATAGTTTAAAAAGCATCTGCCACACCCTTATCATAGAGTGTGTATTTGACATTCTCAGTCCATATTAACCTCCTAAGACCCAAACTCTTCCACGGCATGCATTTTTAATTTCTCTTTGATAGTTGGGCTGATTGGGTCCTCATGAATGTAAAAACAAAGAATTACCAGATTTTTTTTTTTACTTAATTTTTGTTTCTAAGAAAAATGAGAGCCACATATGAGGATATTCATTTAAAATTTTGATAGAACAGTAGCAGTATAATGTCCTCGTAAGTGGATATCAGGCCCCTGTACGGCATATGTGATGTCCACATATGTGGACGCAGGGTCCTAGGAGGTTAAAACAATTTAATGTGTAGGTTTACCTGTAATCCCAAGAGCACACAGAGATACCAGGGTGGGGTGTCTTCAATGGTGTAGATCATATCCGACCTCCTTGCATCAATACTGTCTGTACTGTCCAATGTCTCAGACATTGAGCTCTACACACATAATGAAACACAAACAGTATTATTATTATCATTTTAATCCACTTCCCTTTGCATCAGTGCATGTACTTTACATAGGATGTACAGGAAAATAGCTGCCACATGATGTGTTAGTACAAGAGAAACGTGTCAGAGCAGATCTGAGGAGAGCTCTGTTAAATGTCTCAGACAGAGCTCTACACAGACAATGAAACACAAAGAAACTGTATCCTGTTAATCTACACTTCTCTTTACATGCATGCTATATGACATGTACTGGAAAATAATGTTATGTCAGTGGAACATGTCTGAGCCGATCTGTGGAATTTTATGAATGGAAAAATACCAGAGGTAAATTTCTGTCTTACAGAAAAGTGCAGTGTCATGGTGACATTGAGAGCAGAGAACCACAGAGGAAGATAAGGAGTCATTCTGATGAGTTGGTCTTTTCTACTAAATATCTCATCAGCATCTTTCTGTACTACAATGAGGTTAAAGTTTTTATGTAAACAAAAATAAACCAGGAAAACAGAACAACAAAACGTAATTTTTCTAACTTCTACTTTGGAGATTAGAATTGAAAACAACAGCATGTTTACAGCAGAAGTTTATACTATAAATAGTGAATCACATGAAAGGGTTTTACTTATAATGATATGGCTTTTGTTTTCAGGGAAAACCCATGAATGGATACTTATCATAATTACAGGTTTTAAGCTTCATGATTGCCACTTACTGTTAAAAAAAAATGGAGGTCATAGCTCACTTTGGCTTGTTTTTATAAACAATGTAAGACATGGGTATACATTCCCTGATCTACATCCTGTAGCTACGGCATCAGTGCAAATTCAGCCTTTTATGGGAAGAACATTTTAGAGAAATAAAAACTTCTTTAAGATTTGCATACCCCTTTTCAATAACATTTAAGGTCAGCATTTTTAGAATAGATAAAAACTTTGCTTACTTATTTTTGTTGTCTCAAAACAAAAGGTGAAAAGCATCTATTAAAACTTACTGGATGTGATTTTTAAAGAAACAAAGCAAACTTTGCTACACATCACAGAGACATCACTAGGTCTTTAGACCAGTGGAGCATTGAGGGCTGTTTGCTTTATTATTAATAAATCAGTCTTTGATAACAATCTCAAGTATGTAGGTGAAAGATGAGTTGGGGAAAAAAAAGGAAATCACTGAAATTGTTTTGCTGAGCGCTGCTAACAAAAAAAAAAACAAAACAAAACAAAAAAAACCCCCACAGAGTCAACAAAAGCACTTTATGAGTATGCTTTTTGAGTCATTGTGCCAAAATAGTGACTTGGCTCTTTCAAAAACATCCTTTAAGATGACTACAAAAACTCATGAGGAATTCACTTTGACGGTTTTTACTCCTAAGTTACCTTTTCGCCTCCTTGATTATCTTTAGTGTAGATGGCCATCAGCTCTGTGTTCTCAGTGTCCTGGTCACCACTGGCGCCGCTGACTCCATTTACCACCACCTAAACAAATACAAAGAGTTTCACGTCAACATTTTACTATCCCAATTTGCCAGAGCATGCAGGAAAAAACAAAAATCACAGTTTCTCAAAAGCAGGTTTGGCGCAATGCTCATACCTTTCGCTTTCAATGTAGGTTTTGTCAGCGTGCCAACATGCAAGCTGAAGCAATGTCAATATTTGTGTGTGTGCGCCAGTCTATATGTTACGCAGTGTGGAAGGCCAGATGCACTTATGTCCCCTGGACATGGACATGTGCTTCCTACAGTATGCAAACTTGTAACCATTCAAACAAATTTCAATAATTGAATATGCATTTGAGGTTTATGTACGAGAGTGCGGCTTTGCTGCATTTGTCACAGCATTTAGGTTAAGAACAATCAGCAACGAGGAGGAGAGAAAGCAGTAGTTTGCATAGTCAGGAGTGTATGCAAATGTGCCCACCAAACCCAGAGTTTTTACTCTACAGTCCTCACATGCAAACATATGGCATGCATAGGCCTCCAGATTAAACTCTGAGTGGTGGAGTGGATATTGAAGGTTATCAGGGAAACATGTCAGATCACCAGGACAATTAAATGCACACAAAATGTCAGGCTCATGTTTTATTTCCCTTTGTGTTCCACTGAACAGCTTCAGTAAATGCCTCCAGAGAAAATTCTTTTAAAGAGGGAACAAAGCTTATCTAAGTTTCTAACAGGAAACCAGCTGGCTCCGTGGTCACCCTCAAAGCTCTATGGGAGGATTTATCGTCGTTTATACCTTGCTTAACCTGTGTCACCTGATTATTTAAACATTTAAGGGTATTAAGAAGCCACATGAAAATTAATTTCATGTTTCCCCCCCTCTTTTAGGACATGAAAGGATGTTTGCTAGCACTATTTAAATCTTCACCAGTTCCTGAAGGAAATTTCAGGTTCTTTTTTTGTGTGTTTTTTGTTTTATTTTGTTTTTAATTTTTTCATTATATGGAAATATTCTGGAGAAGTGCCAAATTAGAGTTGCTTTAGGGGAAAAAAGATTCTGCTAATACAACTAAGACTTTTTCTAAAATGAAAAAGTACCTTATTCAATGTGAACACTTTTAGACTGTATGGAAACAATATGGATATTGTTAACTGTAAACAGTCATTTTATATTGCATGTAGGACAGGCTGGGTTCATTTTTAACTCGTGCTGTATGTGAAACTTAATCTGCAAAGCTGTGCAAATAATGGAGAGCACATGGGGTTTCTTACAAGTTACAAATTATTTTACTTATATTTATATCTTATGTAATTTTATGATTTAGTTCCAATGTACAGCACTTTACATCAGCTGTGGTTGTTGTGCTTTATAAATAAAGATGATGATAATTATAAATAGTCAGTCCTTCTGTTACCTTGGGCCTTGTTATGGGACCAACATGCTAACATATAGGTAGTCCAAATGTCTCTATCCTCTCCAGTCTTAAGACGCCTCAAGGGGATCTTGGCCAGTCCCCAGACCTCATGACCTGATCCCTGCGCATGTCGAGGCTCTACCCTGGTCCAAAACCAGATACAGGTGGTAACTCTATAATAAACCTTACTGTGAGAAGTGGCCATAAGAAAATCATTTGTAATTTTCACTAATAAAAGTTGGTCATATTTAAGATTAATTAAATGGTAGGTGTTCTTTAAGTAGTCTAGAAGAAACGGGGTCTAAAAGACAGTGTATGTGCAAGTATTCATCTCAAGGCAAGAGTTCATACTTCATACTATTCTAAACGCTCTGATTTCGACAGTTTCGTTCTCTTGGCTGTGCAGGATTAGCAACTGCAGATATCTGGAAGATGGTTATCTCTGCTGCACAGACCTGACTGAGCACAACAGTCCACACTCTCCTAATTGTAAGGGGCAGTCAATCAGTTGGCTTAGTGTTAAAGAATCCCAAATGGCTTTTATTAAGGGCTTCAGTAAGATAGAGTGTAAGATAAATAAGAATTATTTTAATCTTTGAATCATGCAACGCAATTCTAGTAGACCAAAAATATAAACTTAAAAGGAGCATAATAGCTTCTCTTGTCAGCACAGAACATGGGCAAATCTCCTGCAAGAAGTAAAAACACGTATGAAAAAGAATCTCTTAAAACATGCTATGTTTTAATTTAATGGAGCTATAAGAATTAACAAGCATATTTGTGTGGAGGAAATCAGATTTGATAAATGTCTCTGTTGTGATTTTGCCCACTGACCTACATAAGGCAGCGGCCTGGTGCCAAGAGGACAAACAGAGGAAACGGATGGAAAAAGTATTGGCTGCAGCATGCATTAAGTGACCATGAAGTAAGAGGTTCGTGTGCGACTGTCTGCTCCAACACATTCCAGGCAAAAAGCAATGCCAAATATGATTGCGTGAGTCAGAAAAGAGTAATGTGAGGAGATGTAGGACAATCCCAACTATGTGCAAACCCCTGTCTTTGTCTTCATTATACAAGCATGCTTTAGGTGTGGCTGTGGTCTCTGTGGGAACATTTTATTTATGGTTGTATGTACCGGAATTGGGTAGAAATTTGCCCCATGTTTGCACTCCTCTTCATATTTTCCTCCTTCACTGCTGCTGTCCATCGATTTGGAGGTGGTGTTCTTCCCCACGCCCATGCTTGTGTCTTTGTCTTCTTTCTCGTTCTCTGTTACTCCTTGGTCTTGCTGTGGTGTGGTTTCAGATGAATCCTTCAGGGTGATTACATCGTCTAGGAGTGCCTCTTCTGCTTAGAAAATGAGACAGATAAGGAGGGATTAATATTTGATTTATTTACAAGGGCAACATTCCTGTGATAAAATCAGGGCACTCCAGGGGATGATGGGTCAAAATTTCTGGTGGAATATATTAAATTCTCAGACTTTATTTTTTTTATTCTTAGTGTGATTCACAATAATAAAGCAACAGCATAAACACAATTAAATTGAACTGTTCATTAAGGGATCATGAGCCATTGTTCAATACATATTTAACTAGCTAAGATATTGCTTTTTCACTTCAAGATCTGCATTATTGATACCTGGTGTCTTTTGAAGAACCAAGACAAAGTTAAGAAGTTTTGTAAAAGCACAAGAAATAATTATGACAGTTCTAATTAAGTAAGATCCGCTTATTGGAGCTATATAATCTGTTTACATCCTGATAGAGAGTTCACAGAAGATTTGGGAAGTGAAAACTACTCACAGGTCTAGAAATCAGCATGTAACTGTTCACATGCAACTTTATGCCACTACTACATTTATGATTTTGAAAGTAATTCCAGGTCCAAAGCTACTTTTTAAAAATCCAGAAGACACAAATATTACCCCTTTTGAACTTTGTGGATCTAACAGAAAGTTTATCAGTGTGATTGGTTTTCTGTCTAGTTGACAGAATATTTTTTTTCCTACAATTCACTTTGTTGTTGTTTTTTGCTTGCTTTTACATTCATATGTGAAAAGTTAACCAAGTCTTGATTATATAATACCTTAATGTTTTGTTAGTCAAACAAAAACAACCCAAGAAACACCGCTCTGATCATTATACAGATCATTTTTCACTATATTAAGAAAACGGTCATCTTAATCTGCCTTAATCAAAACAGCCTGCACAAATTATCAATAACCAGATAACTTGTGAACTAACAAGGGATACATGTCAATCAGTAATCCATGCTGCAAACAGGTCTTTGACAAACAAAAAAAGGCACAAAGAGGAGAGCCCATTAAAAGAAAAATAGTATTTGATAACAACAGGAACAAAGATCACTGTGCGATGATGCAGGAGGCAGAAAGAGAAGGAGTTTTAGCAGGCATGGTGCATAAGACGTACTATTTTTTTTAAATCAATGTCATTTCTGTTTTGATCTCTTTTTGTTTATGCCTAAACTGGTTTACAAATTTAAACTGTGCCTTTTGTGGTCAACTGACACATCCCTAGAGGATAAAATGCTGCGAGTATTTTACATGTGACCTATCATCCAAAAGCCAGGTGTTCATGTATTCACATGTCCCTGGTGTGGTGCTCCTGCCTGTGTAGAATTTTAATTAATATGCATGAACTGTCTTGTTGTGACAATAACGCACGCAAACATATAGAAATTACATAAATGTCCCAGATGTACACAGATGTAAGCATAGGTTTCCAATGTGATAAACTAGAAACAAACTCCAGATGCATATTTACACGTCTAAATAACTGAACAAAAATAATAATAGTGACGTTCATTAGGACAGCTGTATTAATGAGCACACGGACAAATTCTCACTGAGTGCAAACTGCTGTATACATCTGATAAATACTCTGATAAATGATTGCCAATGCAGGAAGTGAAGATCTCCACACAGGAAAGAAAATATACCCACCAGCACTTTTTGTAAGTGTGGTTTATGTCACCAGTTGTTATTTTTGTAGTTTGTTACAGCTTTTTAAACGTCAGTGAAGTGATATTGCATGACTGCAGCTGTATTTGTCACTGTTAAGGAGGAGAGACATGCTATAATTACTAGAAACCAAAGGTTTTTTTATGGCTTGGTTGATATGTCTAACTGCACTTTTAAAGAAACCAGTCCTCGCTGACATCTGTCACAAGCTAAGGTATACGTGTCGCTTAATCAAGAATGTTTGACTAGACCTTTGATGCTTTTCCACGGCCTTTATCCCCACTTTCTACACAAAATATGTTTAATAGACTCTTCAGTACCACTTTGGTCTCAAAAATGATGGCTGGAAAGCAAATTTTCATTGAACTTGTACTTTTCCATCTTGTCGCTATCTAGAAGACAGTCCTACTGGCATGAGCATCCTGGTGACTGCATTTTGTATATTTCTAAATGGCTACACTCAGAAAAGAAAACCTCAAATTTGTATTTTGCATATGTTAAGATTTTCAAAGACATTTTAATATCAAGTACCACATTATTTTTTAAAGTTAAATCATTTCTGATCACTAGATCTTGACTGGAGTATGAACTAAAACAATTATTTTGATGCATTTCCCGTTTGCTCGTTACTGAATGATCTGAAATTTTAACACGTTTTAACAGCTCTACAGGAGTATCATGGTACGGAAAGATGCAGACACTCATATTGTGATACTGGTCTCAGTTTACTGAAGCCAGATATAGTTTTCCAACCATTTGCTCTACGAAAAACTACATGCTTACATTTTTAACCTTTAAACTGTTATCAAATGTCAGCAGCTGTCCACGTTGCTTGCGAATCCCATTTTCGTTGCGGCTCATCGTCTGTGTTGGATTTTGTTGCATTTTTCAGTTTTTGACATTTTCAACCTAAAGCCCTCCCCAAATATCCTCTCCCACCCAGTCATATTCCTGCTTGCAGTGTAAGATGTTGGGATAGTTGTAATACCTAGATGACACATCCCATCACTCCTGCCAAGCTGGGCGGTTGGGAGCATCTGTGTGGAAGGAGCAAGAGAAGGGGAAAGGAGGAGGCAGTATAAGAGAGGACGTGAGGGAAGGGGGGGGGAAGATGGGGAGGAAGCACAGAGAGACACAAAAGGGTCAAGGATAAGGAGGAGGAGGGAGGTGAGACATAAGTTAATTTGACAGATAGCATTTAATCACAAGCAAGAGTTATTAGTGTGACTGATGTGCCGATTGTAATTCAGACTCTCAGCTGAAACATGGTTTCAGGAAGGCGGCAAGAGCTGTAGTATTGCAAGCCTTCTGGCTCTTCAACAAGTGCATGTCTTAAGCACCTTAAATTGGTCTTATGAGAAAAGTGAGGGCCCAGCTGAACTTTAAAGACACTTTAAGCACACTCATAATTGCATGTAAAAGCCATCTCAAACTAGTCAGACAAGTTTTAAAGAGTTAGGACCAGATTGTAATTTAAATTGTAGAACAAAAATCTCTATCGCCTCTGCTAAATGACTCAAAAAGATCTAAGTCATACAGAGACAATAAGGCAAGTAATTCTGTTATTCTTATAGGTAATAACTGAAAGACAATATCACCAAATGTGGCAGCACTCCTCATTCTTCTTGGCATGTTGATTTTCATTTCAGAGTCATCAATTTTTAACCAGGGGCTTAGGTTTCATTAATGGTGGGCATTTGTTATTGTGGAGGCCTTCTACTTAAACACTTGAATCACACTTGAAATTATGGATGGATATCAATTTGTTTCTGATACTGAGGCCATTTTTAACTCCGCTTATAAGTCTAATTATCTATTAATTACCTTATTCCTGTGAAAACAAAGAAAGGTTTCCATTGTGAATAAAACAGTTTTATACGAGTGAGCACAGAATAGAAACACTACAGGGGAGAAATAAAAATAAATAAATCTTACATGTGAGTCAAGTGTTCCCATCAGGAGCTTGAAGTAATTGTTTTGCATCATACAACCATTTGTCACCATTATCAGTTCCTTTTATCACTGCCAATCTTTGAGGCATATGATGATGGATTCGATCATTTGCTTAATTTTTACCTCTACTTTAGGCTGTGACTTAACATGACAGGAAGGCTCAACAATAAACTTCGCAAAAGCAATTCATTCAGCTCCTTTAACACTCTTTACCCTGCAGCTCTGCCTTTATTTTTTCTCTTGCTAATTATTACCAAGTTTAAATCTTCACTAGACACTTACACTCAATTATTTATCAACATTTTGTTAGGTAAACCTGTTCAACTGTTTGTTATCAAATATCTAATCCACCAATCATATTACAGCAACTCATTGCATTTAGGCATGTACACGTCGTCAAGACGACTTGCTGAAGTTTAGAATGAACATCACAATGGTGAGTTGCATAAGTGGTTTTGGACGTTGCACGCTTGTTCGTGCCAGACAGGCTGATGTTAATATTTCAGAAACTGACAATCTAACGGGATTTTCCCCACATAATCATACCTAAGGTTTACAGAGATTTTTGAAAAAATGGGCTAGAATACTCATTGGCTCAAAACAGAACATATGTCTAATGAAGAGTGTTTTTCCTGTATCAGCATCAGCCTTCCAAAGGGGAGACTACTCAAGTAAGCATAATCAATAAGGCAGTGATTCTCATATCTGTGCATTTTCCTGCCATTTGATAAGCAAAGTGTTCCATTAAATCATTTTACTAAAAGCTACTAGTGATTTTGTTTGGCTGTGTTTAAAATCTGTGGGCAAGACAAATTTCCTCTATGCAAAATATTAGCTCAGTGTTATCACAGAAATCCCTGCCATAACTACAAAAATAAGAACATCATACTAAACCACTGTCCCTTAATATTGTCACATGATGAGTTATTAATCTAAGCAATGAATACTACATACAACACAAGAAATGACGGCACTTAATTAAGCTCAGTGCTGCCTAGCCTATGACTCTCTCAGTGCTGTTAATCATCTCTGAGATGTGGAATAGAATAGAAAGTATCCCAGCAGCCTGTCTGCCGGTGATGATCGGAAATCTGTGTCGTTCCCTCATCCCACCCCCACCACAAAAACATGGGGAACTGGAGCGAGAGAGGAGAGAACTGAAACTGAGTATATGCCATTACACAACAAAATCAAAATCTGCAGTTTTATAATCATGAAATGTCACATTATGTAAAAGCAAACATAACAGGACAAAAACAGGGAAAGTATTCATGTTTGTAAGAGAGACGATATTAGAGAGATGGGAAAGCAGCGAAGAAAGAGTGAGACAAGAAGGAACAAAGACAACTGTTGTGGTTATTTTAAATCATCCCAAAATACACAAGCTGCTGGACATTTGAAGGATCTATAACCATGGTAACTCGATCTGCAGATCCACTGCAGGCCTGTGCCATGTTGTTAGTTTCCACACCAGATGTTTGTGTTGGCGCTTTCATCTCCAATTTATGTGACAGCATGCACATGTGTATGAGGACCATCCCCTCCAGATGTTAATCTGGGGCTCAAAGTCTAGACGACATTATGCCTGCTGCAGGACTGCATAGTTCAGTTCAGTCTTTAGTTCAGCAGCAAGCACTAAACTAATGCTTAAAACTGCTGCTTTTACAATTACAGTTTAAAGAAGTAGCAACCCCTTTTCCTAAAAATACCAACTGAATAAACTTCATAGAAAAGCATGACTTCAGATGTTTGAAACACAAAAAAACAAACATAAGACTTTAATTAAACTATTACAGACTGGCAAAGGTTTTCAAATAATATTCATCCAATTTAAAAAAAAAAAAATGCATACAGATTTCCAACACGGTCCAGTCAATCTGAGTCAGTCTGTGCTGTTGAGTGCAGCTCATTTGCAACGAGCCGATTGCTTACCTGTGTTATTTGGCAGTTAAATTGCAGTCCTGCAACAATTACTATTTAGGGATTTTTTTATTTTTCTTTTTAAATCTGACTCTGAAAGTAGTTTATATGAACTTGCCTAATGTGAATTCTCCTGCAAGTGGTTGCAGACTTGTTCCTGTCTTTGAAACAACCATTTAGAAGGAAACAAGATTTCAAGTTCACCGCAATCCACTTTCCCCCAGCATAAAAAATAAAATAAAATAATTAAATACAATTAAAAAAAAAAAAAAAAATGTACCAATGTTAACTCTCTAGCTCATTAAAGGAGACACCTTTTATTTTTTTCCTGTGATCCTATTACGCAATATCGGCCAGTCTTTTACTTTTATTGTCATTTCCTTCCGTGAGCACTGGTGGGTTGAAGGACAACAGTAGCACTGTACTTCTGTTATTTTTTTGTGGATTCTAATCCATGTCTGGGGAGGTGCTAATGAAAACAAGAGTTATATCTCCTCAAAGCTGATCGTATTTTCTCCTAATGAAACAATGAAGCTAAAGAAGCCTTCTCTGAAAAACTATAAAAAAAAAAAGAAAAGAAAAACAAGCAATGATCGCATATTCCCCATCTGCATTTTGTTGTCAGAGTCTTGTTACTTAACATCTTGTAACTACTTCAGTAGGTTTTGTTTTTAAAATGCATTACATACTGGAGGAAGCTATCAGAATCAGAGAAAACAAAACCACAGGAGGTGCACAGTAGAAAAAATTTCCACAACTGTAAGACAGCCAGCAGACATAATAAGGACTGTAACTGGAAACTACTATTCATTGCCCAATGGGATTGGGAAAAAACAAATGTGAATAAATGGAATTAATAGAATTAAAAGTCCTGTATTTGAGAATGTGGAAGTTAAATTTAAGAAACTCTTTTTTGCTTTAATCTATAAAAATATGATCTATTAAATGTAAATGCTGTTTGTCTGGTTTTGTAATCTTCCTGCAATGTGAAGCGCAAGAACGTCTTTTGTAGTTGTCATGTTATCATGAATCCAAAGTTTCACAATGCAAAATGTACAGTCATGTACAACGCTGCAAAGCTCCACCGTTTCTCAAGCTTAATAAAGAAAAAAAAGTCATTATCATGTCAAACTTAACCTGCTGTGAAAGTATCTGGTACCAGGAAAAATAAAGCTGGAAAAAATTTTAAAGTGAAGAAAATGAAGTTAAAGTTCAAAGTCTTTCTGACTTGGTAAATGGACTGGTTCTTGTATAGCCCTTTGCTACTCAAGCACCCAGAGCGCTTTAGTTTTTAGGTCTTTTACACACTTAAAAACTCACCTCTACTCATCAGAACTGTGTGTGTGTTGGTGGTGTGTGTGTGTGTGTGTGCTTTGGTGTGTGTGTGTGTGTGTGTGTGTGTGTGTGTGTGTGTGTGTGTGTGTGTGTGTGTCTAGATACATGATATATATATTTCTATATATATATATATCTATATTTATTTATATATATTTCTATATATCTATATATCTGTATGTATGTATATATATGTGTATGTATATATATGTGTGTGTATATATATGTGTGTGTATATAGAGAGATAGAGAGATAGAGAGATAGAGAGATAGAGAGATAGAGAGATAGAGAGATAGAGAGATAGAGAGATAGAGAGATAGATATATATTCATGCTTTATTATTTAAAGTTAGTCATGTATATGAAGATAAAGAACAGGGGACTACTTTCATTTGTATATACAACTGTGCCTCACTTGTCCAGCGGATTAAATTTAAAATGAACATGCATTTGTATCTTTTTATAACACAGTAAAGGAAGTGCGTGTCAACTTGAATAATGCCATCTTAAGTTTACCTGTCTTGTCCATGCTTTGCATATGTATGAGACGCATGGAGCAGAGTGTACAAGAGTGAGTACATGGGGACCGTGAGTCTTTAGATGTCATGTGTTGCTACAAATCTAGTTTCCTTATCAACAGGTCTGACAAGCAGAGCTTAAATGTATGATTGTAGAGGCTCCATTGTAGCTTTATTATTTTGTTAAACAACAAGAGGTTTTATATTGAAGAGGCTATGATGTAGAACCATCTTAGCTACATTTGTGCTGTTCGCCTAAGTTGCCCTGCAATGTTGAAAAGATCAAGGCAGATGGTAGTAGTAGGCAAAAGTGTGCAGGAGGAAATAACAATTAAAGTTGGGCAATATGTAAAAATATTCCAACCGACAATCGTCAGTCCAATAACCGACGATAGTCGATATATTCGAAAATGTGCAGACTTTTTGATGGCCGGAGCAATATAATGATGCATGGACTGATTTGAGCATTTAGAACACAGAAGAAGTCCAAACAAGGATGAACTAATTGCCAAATTGCACACTGGAGGAGAAGGTGCAGACAGAAATGGACTGATACCTCAGCGAGGAGGTCGTAGATGGAGAAGATGATACACTGGCTTTGTGGAAAATGCATGAAGAACGTTTCCCCACTGATGTCACACATGGCACGGAAATATCTGTGTATACCAGCCACAAGCACACCTTCAGAACGCGTCTTCAACACCGCTGGTAATATTGTTAACCACCTCCACACACTGCTAAAACCTGATAAACATGCGGATTTTCCTGTCAAAGAATTTATAAAACTTTGTTTGGAGGGAATATTTTACCTTCTTTTGTTTGTTTCAGTACTTTCTGGATAATTCATTCATTCATTCGAGATGCGCCAAATCACACAAAAGACTTAACTTTACGCCTGAGTTGTTTTTTTTAATGTTCGCTGGAAGAGACATTTTTTTATTTTTAACTTTTTTGTTGACTGGTCGAGTGTGTAAGATAGATAAACAGAGGCTGAACAGAGGCTACTGCCATTCTTTCTTTACGTTATGAGTTTGAGTGAATCATAATTTCTTATTTTAACCTGAAATTTTATAAAAAGATGGATTTAGCTTCCAAGCATTGGAGACCAATGCCTGAACACCCAAATAGGTCCCATTTAAAATTCCATGTATAGTATAAATTCTTTTGCTTGAAATGCCTAACCCTAATTGCTACAGTGCATTTCTAAAGCAAAAATGCTCCAGCAAAGGTTTGATTACTGGTTTTGTTCACCACATGTTCTAGAGCGTTCACTACTTACAAAATATGCATGCATGTGGTCATGAGGCAATGAGGTGCCAGGCAAAACCTTACATGACAGGGTACACGTGAACAGTTCTGATTTCACTATGAGGGAGGGGGTGAGGACTGCAAAGAGACTGCAAGGACATGTTTACATTGCTCGACTGGCAGCAAGTTAACCAGAGTTTAGTAGACACAGAGATCCCTCAACAGTAGAGTAACAAGGACAACATGGCTGTAAATACTCCAAAGCTGATCAACATAAACAGTGCGTCTAAATAAGCAGGTTTGACTGATGATCAGAGTTTGATGAGTCACAAAATTGGGAAAAAAACCTCAACTGACAACCACAAAAATTAACACATGATGAAAGGTAAGTGTTACAAAGGTAAGTGTTTCAAACAAAACCATTTCAGGTTTCGTTTGAAACCTGGACCTGTTTGCTGGTTCAGGAAGCGCAGTGAGCTTACCTTTTTGCTTTTATCTCTTGGTGCGACAGGGGAGCAGGGCATTTCATGCTACACCAGCATGGCTCTTCTGCTGTTAACACTCGCCTCATCAGACCTCAAGTTACCCAGAGGCTGCTGGGATACTTCATGTCATATAGATGACTCGCTCTTTTTGTGTGTTGTATGTAGTTTTGTGGGTTTTTTCTGGTCTAAAATATGATTACCTCTTCTTTTTCCTCTATTCAAGCAGATAGTAACCTCACGGAGAACACCACTATTTCAAGTTGCTGTAAACTTTCAGCTGATGAGGAAGTGAGAAAAAAAAAAAGGAAAAAAGTGTTTCTAATTTCCCTGTTCATGAGAATTGTAAGGGAAGTGGGTTAATTTGGATTCACCAGTTAAAAACAAACCAACAAGCAGGACAGACCATAACATTTAGATCAGGAGATGTTCCCCATTTCATTCCATTTTCATCCTGTTCTCAAAGCATCACCTACACCCACACAGCATGCCACCAGCAGCATATGAACAGATTTGTTACTGTAACAGTACACTTTGCTTATAGGTCATTCCACCTCCTACAGCCTCAGGCATTTTTCCCACCAAGCCCTGCAGCGATTAAAAACTAAATGCATCCCTTGTTGCTTAAAAGGTGATGCAATCCTTTAAGTCTACTTGAGCCAGAGTCTTGCTGGACCTCACAGTAGGACAACCAGTTTCACCTGCTCATAACAGTAGGGACCAATTACCTTCGTTTGGCCAACTGTACAGTTTCATAATCAGCTTTGAAAAAATAAATAAAAATGCATGACCTGGGTTTTTTCAGAAAGTTATACAATTTCAATAAAAGTGGGTCATCGCAAAGAAAATGTAACTGAAGTTCATTACAACACTTTACAACAACAAAAAAAAGATGAAAAAAAACTGGCTGTGGCCTGACACATTTAAAAATGTGCAAATCTGGGTTATGAATTAGCAGGTGGGTGCAGTCTGCATAGGTTGGATAATGAGGTCAAACTCATTTTCATTGTCTGCAAAATGTATAAATATTGGAGAAAAAAAATTCAGCTGTATGTAAAGACACAGCACCAAACCCAAAGAACGCTTACAATCATTCTGTAATCAAATATAAACAAATTGTCACAGGGCTGCTTTTGTACAACATGAACTTTTTCACAATTCGTATAATTCGTGGAGGATGTCAACTCAATTGACGGGCACAGAGTGCTTTTAATCTTTTGAGATATTTTTTTTTTATGCTCCATGTGAGAGTAGTACTCTTCCTGCAAACGGGAACCCTCTGAGTGATGCAAGTGCACAGCCATCTGTACAGTCTACATCTAAGCACACTGTTGACACATCAGCAGCCAGCATATTTTTACATTTCCGTGTGAACATCAGCTGTGAAAGCAACGGTTGGAGCTAAAAATAGAAGTAAGTAAATAAATAAATAAATAAACAAATAAATAAATAAAAAAGGACCAACAGTAAAATCCAGCCTTTATTGAGCCCAAATTCAAAATATTCAACTCAGGAATATGCACCTACAGGAATATGTTTAACGTGCGTAATCTAGTTTCTTCAGCAGGGATGCATCACGCTGGCAACAAAGAAAAATTAGCCATAAAAATAGCAACTTTTTCCAACCCTGACCAAGTTGATTTTTTGGCCAAGGTTGTTTTTGTTTTGGTTTGGGTTTTTTTAACTTAAACTCAATTGAGCATTTTTTTCTGATAAAAGGATAAAATGTAAAATCTGTCTTGTGATTGAAAGCACCAAAAAAAAAAACAACAACAACAAAAAAAAAGTATACGCTCAGGGAAACAAATAAGGAAAACTATATCCACAAACAAGCATCAACTTATTAAAAGTTGTGCTGTTGAAATTTTGACTGAGAGCAATTAACTAACCCTCTGATTTTCTCTAGTCTTATTGTCATAAGAAAATGAAGCAACTGAAATACAATCATGAGAAAGGCAAAACTCAAACTGTGTGTTGAAATCTGCACCGATGCAACGCTGCTGTTCTGAGCATTTTGGCAGCTTCCACACATGAAGCGTTATCACTACATTACTTTTACTCTATTAGACATTTGTGTGAAATGTTGTCAAAATTCATGCTGCTTAAGTTTGAGTTAAAATTTCTATTTGTTATAGCATTTACAAGAATGATGATCATCTAATCAACCTAATCTCAGGTCTTCAACAACCTATTTCATTAGAGTTTAAACATAATTTGTCTACAATTTCACCATTAAGACTAAAACCATCAGAGCTGTAACTTGTCACTAAACCTTTTAGTGGTCCCCCACACTCGTTTCAGAACTCGAGGGGGCCGATCTTTCCAAGCTGTTGCACCCAGTCTGTGGAATGCACTTCCTCAATTTCTACAGTGTCTGGACTCGGTGGAGACCTTCAAAAAGCAGCTAAGTACATTTCTATTTTAAAAAGCTTTTAATTAGGCCAGGGTTTTTATTATGCATTTATGACTGTATTGTGTTTTATTACCTTTCTTGTGAAGCACTTTGTGACATATGTCTGTGAAAAGCGCTAAATACATTAGTACAGTTTCATAATCATCAGTTCCTCCTAAAAATGACAGACTTGCAAACGGTGATGCATTTTCTGTTGCACACCTAATCACTTCTTAGGAATTACTAATCACTTTGGTAAGTTTAACCTTTTAATATTAACAGAAATTTAAAAACACACCCAGCACACAGACACATTTTGCAGAGGAAGTTTTGCATGCCACGTGATGCGTGGTGGTGTAATACGGGAGGACGCGTAACACATGCGCTCAGAGAGATAAAGAGATGCTTTTTTGAAAGGGAGATATGAAGACCATAAGTCTCCTTGCAGACAGGGATGCTAGCAGAGTGTCCCTGTCGATAAAAGAGCCTTGCATTGAACAATTAAGGTAACCAGAAAAATGCTTAACCAGCTTTCATCGAACAGACTCCTCTAAAAACCAAGTCAATAGGATTCATTAAATTATTTTGATTATTATTTACTTATTTTAGCCAATTTAAGGCAGAACATTGGGTATTTAACAACATATGGGTTCTATGACATCAAATTAAATATAATATTGGGTCATAACGTGACCTGGTGGAAAGCTTGAACTCAGATGGACCACTCCCATTAAGCAAGCAGACAGTAAATAGAGGTCCTCTTTAGTATGGCGGTAGCAGTCCATTCATCATTTGTCATGCTGCTCATTAAATTTTTATGAAACTTACACAAGACGTGGGTTATTGCTCTGTTCCAATAGTTACAAAACTGGTCAGCCTGAGGAAATGTCACATGATTAACACAAGTGTGACAAAAACTGGATGAACTGTGGATAAATCCATTTTTTATCTTGAAATTTATTCAATTATATTTCTAATAGCATTTTGTTTTGGAGCTGAGGCTAAAAGTAGAATTAGCATTACTGTCTGCAGCATAAAAAAAACAAAAAAACCCCGTATGCTCCATAAAATGTCAGAAAACAGTTTGTTATGAATATAAAAGTAATTTGCTTTGCTGGGCCTGCACAAAATCCATTATACTAAGAGAAAACAGCCATTTTGTAGATAAACTAGTTGAATGTTGCTTCAGCTGTACTAACAGATAATCATAAAGATTCTGTCCATAAAAATTGTGAACCGAAAGGCTGACAGAGCGACTGCAGAAGGCTACCACTTTGGTGTCCTCAGACTCATCTCTTATTGGTTCAGATGATATGGCTAAATTGGCTTTATCAGGTGGAGACCTCCAGCTCACACTAGAGTGACCTGCAGACGATTGTGAAGTAGCAGGAATAAGAATTCCTACCCACCTCTGAGTCTGATGCCATGCTTCAGGGAAATGGATGAAGTGCCAACCTTCACCTTGTGTCAAAGACCAGTTGTTTTCCAAATGGAAGACTTAGAGAATCTCACGGTCTTGTTCATGATAAATGCTGACAGATGGATTGAGGTTGCATCTGCAGTGATGCCACACCGGTGTGTTGTGATAAAGAGAGTTGCCCATAAAAGCGAAGCTGTCGAGTTACCAGTCATTCTATGTCCCTAAGTTCATCCATTTTTACGAGCTTTGGGTAAAGAATGAGATCACAGGTACAAGCAGCACCCTTTCTCCAAAGGGTGATTGGCCTCTCTCTCAAAGATAGGGTGAGGAGTTTAGTCATTCTGGCGAGGCTCAGTATTGCCGCTACTCCTCCTCCACTTATATGCTGAAACCTGGCCCCAGATATGCAATACAAAAAAAGGATGGATAATGGGGAACAATGAATTCTGAAAAATTTATTTAAAAAAAAAAAAAAAATCCCTCATCAAGGTAAGCACTCAAACTACATATCTCTACCAAGGCCAAACTTCCTCCATATCATGTAGGAACTGGGTGCCTCAATTCATAAGTATATGCGGATCCACAGATATTCTCCTGAGATTACCAGGAAAATGTCTCACAATATTTCTTATTCCAATTTTACGTACATTTGTGAAGATATGAAGCAAATTGCCCAGGTTCTCCACACTAAACAAGAAGTACTTACTAATTTTTTCCTGTTCTGATTTGATACCTTACTCTCAGGCAATGGCTGACAAGTACAAGCAAGTACTACCCATTGTCACTGACATTTGATCCAGCTTTTTGAGTCAGGAACAAAGACCGTGCAAAAGATGAATATAGGTATCACACAGTGGTGGCCATTAAAAATAATGCAGGTTATAGGCACTTCTCAGACCTCAAATAGTGTTTTATACTGTCTAGGTAAGGACAGAGACAAATATCAATCCCTATACAGAATCCTACATGAAGGAAAAACTAAAAATCTTAGAACCAGATTGACTTCAAGGGTTAGTGATGTTTATTTTAAATCACTTCCCAGTCTGACCAAGCCCCAATTCTAGTAAAATCTTCACGCAAAGTGGTATATAACATTGAGTCATCCTGCTAAAAAACAGACAAAACCAACTAATTGCATAATCTCATTTGTGAAGGTAATTTAACACATATGGGTGTCCTCAGGTGGGGTGCAAGTATTATAAAAAATTTCCAGTATTAGCATCATTTGAAGTACAATGTAGGCACAATAAGGTTGGTTTTAAGGGATCAGTATGGATCTGAGAGGACCTCTACAAACATAATCTGAGGCTGTGAATCAGGTTTCAAGTTCTAAAATGTTTATGTAAACAATTTTACATAAATTCACTCAGATCAGTCATTTTAATATTTAGGATATATTTTAAAGGAATTGGTCTTCACTACACAAACACTACATCTAAGGAAAAACCACTTATACACAATCATCAATAAATCAATAAATGGCTTCAGTGGGCACTTCCATCCACACATCCCTCCTCCCCCTTAGAGAAAATATTTTTTCTTGGGGGGGGGGGGGGGGGGGGGGGGGGGGAATGCAATAGCCTGTTAATCATATAACATGTCTGTGAAGTTTCCTTACCACTCATGCTACTCAAGCCAGATGTGACCAGATGTGAAAAGAAGGGTAAAACAGCGCAAATAATCATAATCAACAGCTGTAAGGGTAGGCAGACATACACAAACAAATTCCTCTGTGAGGGAAATGTATGGACATTGCAATTTCAAAACAATCCTAAGACAAAACAACAGCTCAGAAACAATGCTCCACTAATGCTAAACATAATAAATTATTCACATAAGAGGTTAATACAGCAGGGTATGTTTTTCAGTATTTGTTACGCAAGAGTCATATGGGCTGCCATGCTGGTTTTACCCATTTAATCCACACCTTAATCAATTATATCAAATGAACAAACAGGAATTTAGACGGCTGCATGTGTAGCTGTCAACTTTATAAAACAGATTCCTTTTATTTCTTTTTCTAGCAGAAAATCAATGTTATAAAGCTATAAATAAAACAGAAGTCAACACCACACAAGCAGACACATTTACACAGTACAGTAGGAAGGCACAGCATGACCCAGCACTACAGTGTAATCTTAGTCACATGCTGCCTACACCAAAAAGGGCCAGAATCTGCGACCCAGTTTGCCTCTATGAGTCTTGTCCTGGCCCCGACATTCTGTTAGGTGAGCCACTGCTCTTTTCAGTGTGACCAAGATGAAATGGTTTAACGGATTAAAAGGAAACAATGTCCAGGATGACTGCAGTTTAGTGTACAACCTTAACCGAACTGGAAATAAACCACACTGAAGTCAGAGAAGTACCTTATTTTACAGTAGCATCGAATAAATACACAGAATGTTTTTAGCATGACTCACAGTTGATATATAAACTAATGGTAATACCACTGCTGTCCATGAACAGGTTGTTCATGGACAGCTAGTTATTATGTTTTTAAACATAACTGACAGATGAGAGAGGGGTGCCGCTTTGTGGGAACACTGGCAGGAAAATTTCATCACTTCATCCACTGCTCTAAAATAATCTTTTCCATCAATTTCCATCTTTCTTTGTTTTCCTTTTGCTGTTGACAGGACTGGTTCTTAGCCATTTTCCTCCTCCTCAGCTAGAGCTGGGCGATATGAGATTTTTTCATATCACGATATGTTTTTTTCATTTCAGGCGATAACGATATCTATCACGATATAAGCCAAATAACTATATTTGTAAGATTTAAATGTGCCATTGCTCACAAGTAAAATGTGAAATAATCAGCAGCTTGTTTTTATTTAAATATTTATTTCCCATAATAAGTTCAACAGGGTAGATGTACTTAAGGAACATGAGACTTTTTCAG